TTTTCTCTCTTATCTACATCAAAGAACCATACAGTACAACAGTAAATACATGTACATGAACTAGAAGAACGTAAAACATTAATGGGCTTAGCCATAAGCCATGCCATTGTTGTGCTGTATGACCTCTCTTACAGCTAGAGAAGTCTTTGGACAGCAGTTTAGTCTTATCTTGCTGACTGTTTGCTACAAATATTAAGCTCAGACTTGCTAATAACAGCCATTTCATTTCATTGTGACCACACCCGCTTTCAATGAAGATTATGCTATTTAACTTTAATAATAGTTAGACGATCCTATCCATGTATGCATTAGTAGTGGGCATTAATTAGAATACATTTATATTGTAGTAAAATTCTATGGAGATCAAAGCAAGGGGAGAATTTTTTAGTACAAACGAGGTAAACTACACATGTAGCCACACAGCATAAGGACATGATGTTCTTATACTGTGTAGCAAGTTTGAGTTGATTTTGACAAAAATTCCTCGAATTATGACCATTTTAAAAAAGGGCCATTTCTTGAAAATTACCAAGGCTATAGCCCATGGTTTTTTCCAAAAAATGGCTCCGAAATCACCCCAAATTTTTATTACATTTTCTGATACATATTGATGTCCTTATGCTATGTAGCAAGTTTGAGCTGTTTCCGACAAATATTTTTCAAGTTATGGTCATTTTAAGAAAATGTCAAAATTGTGAAAAATATCCAAGGCTATAGCCCATGGTTTTTTTCCAAAAAATCGCTCCAAAATCACTTCAAATTTTTATTACATTTTCTGATACATATTGATGTTCTTATGCTGTGTAGCAAGTTTGAGCTGTTTCCGACAAATATTTTTCAAGTTATGGTCATTTTAAGAAAATGTCAAAATTGTGAAAAATATCCAAGGCTATAGCCCATGGTTTTTTCCAAAAAATCGCTCCAAAATCACTCCAAATTTTTATTACATTTTCTAATACATATTGATGTTCTTATGCTGTGTAGCAAGTTTGAGCTGTTTCCGACAAATATTTTTCGAGTTATGGCCATTTTAAGAAAATGCTAAAATTCTGAAAAATACCCAAGGCTATAGGTTTTTTCCAAAAAATGGCTCCAAAATCACCCCAAATTTTTGTTACATTTTCTGATACATATTGATGTCCTTATGCTATGTAGCAAGTTTGAGCTGTTTCCGACAAATATTTTTTGAGTTACGGCCATTTTAAGAAAACACCAAAATTCTGAAAATTACTCAAGGCTATAGCCCATGGTTTTTTCCAAAAAATGGCTCCGAATCACCCCAAATTTTTATTACATTTTTTGATACTTATTGATGTCCTTAAGCTGTGTAGCAAGTTTGAACTCATTCCGACAAATATTTTTTGAGTTACGGCCATTTTAAGAAAACGTCAAAATTCTGAAAATTACCCAAGGCTGTAGCCCATGGTTTTTTTTTCAAAAAATGGCTCCGAAATCATTCCAAATTTTTATTACATTTTCTGATACATATAGATGTCCTTAAACTATGTAGCAAGTTTGAGCCGATTCCAAGCTCAAAATTTCAAGTTATGAGCCTTTTAAAAACATTAAAACTCTTGCTCATATTCCAATTAATGCCCGCCACAGTGACCACACTACCACACAATAATTAATACTATTACTTCATGCAATAAATTGGGTATGGTATATGACCACATACATGTACATGTACATTAGCATGTACATAATAAATGTACATGTACACGA